TCCAGGGATTAACGTGAGGGGAGTGCGTTCGTGGTGTTTAGTAATAGTGGTAGAGTGCGTTAGTGGATATAGTAATGCAGTAACGTTGGTGGTAGAGTGCGTCAGTGGTGGTGGTGGTGGTAGTGGTGTTTAGCAATAGTGGTAGAGTGCGTCAGTGATGGTGGTAGTGGTGTTTAGTAATAGTGGTAGAGTGCGTCAGTGGTGGTGGTAGTGGTGTTTAGTAATAGTGGTAGAGTGCGTCAGTGGTGGTGGTAGTGGTAGTGGTGTTTAGTAATAGTGGTAGAGTGCGTTAGTGGATATAGTAATGCAGTGACGTTGGTGGTAGAGTGCGTTAGTGTTTCCGTCATGAAATAGGATGACTCATTCTTTGATAAATTTCTTTGTTATAAAAAGGTGTGTTTGTGTGTCGCTATTGAGAGAGAGGGGGGGGGGGTGCGTGCGTGGCCAGCCAATCACTGAGCCCCACGCCTGGTTATAAACAGAGAAGGGGCGGAGCTAACCTGCCTGGCTCTCAGCTGATTGTCCTGTGTGTGCATGTGTGTGTGCGTGTGTGTGTGTGTACCTCAGTCAGTCACCACACGTCTTAACTGCAATTTTAGGAGAGGGCCATGTCCATCTGCCTGTTAGCCATGTGTCTGGCAGGTATCTCTCCCTCTCTCTCCTCCACACACACACACACACACACACACACACACACACGTGGTAGTTTTAAAGGTGTATAATGGAAGGTGTTTATGCTGTGTAGTGTAGTGTATACTTGACTACATCAGAACTATATTGTACAGTATTACTCTCAACTGTTGAAGTGATCTGGGGGAAAAAAAACAATCATATGTTTGTTAATTGTAATGTGGTAAAGACGTGTGCTGATGTGTGTATATATTGAACAGGTGTAGGACAGGTGTGTGTGTGTGTGTGTGTTTTCCTCGTGGTCACATACAGTGATAGACAACAAAAAATACACACACACACACACACACACACACACACACACACACAACAATAACAATAATAATCAACTTCCTGTATTAATCCTCTACATTACTCAGTGACTAAGAGCATAGAGGTGGATTACTCTGATTGGCGGTGCCAAAAACCCCGGACAAGTGATATAGAACCAGTCACCAAGAGGATTTCAGACGCGTAGTGATTGCAGGGACAACCTGGTACCTGTAGTCGTTACCTGTACCCGTAGTCGTTACCTGTACCCGGTAGTCGTTACCTGCACCTGTAGTCGTTACCCGCAATCTTTTAGTCGTTACTCTGTACCTGTAGTCGTTAATTGTGAATACACACCGTACCTGTAGTCGTTACCAGTACCTGTAGTCGCTACCAGTACCTGTAGTCGTTACCTGTACTCTGTAGTCGTTACCTGTACCCGTAGTCGTTGGCCTGTACCTGTAGTCGTTAATTGCACCCCTGTAGTCGTTACCTGCACCTGTAGTCGTTACCTGTACCCGGTAGGTCGTTACCTGGTACCCGTAGTCGCATCTGCACCTGCAATGTTACCTGTACCTGTAGTCGTTATCCTGTACCTGTAGTCGTTATCAGTAATTTGGTAATTTGTATTACTACCCGTACCTGTAGTCGTGTTACTCCACCCAGAATGTTACCTGTACCTGTAGTCGTTACTCCGTACCCGTAGTCGTTACCTGTACCTGTAGTCGTTACCTGTACCTGTAGTCGTTACCTGTACCTGTAGTCGTTACCTGTACCTGTAGTCGTTACCTGTACCTGTAGTCGTTACCTGTACCTGTAGTCGTTACCTGTACCTTTATTCGTTACCTGTACCTGTAGTCGTTACCTGTACCTTCAGTCGTTAACTGTACCTGTAGTCGTTAACTGTACCTGCAGTCGTTAACTGTACCTGTAGTCGTTACCTGTAGTCGTTAACTGTACCCCTATATTTGTACCTGTAGTGTATCTGCTGTTTATACTTAACTGTAAAAAGAACCGCGTCAAGAGAATGAGGACTTGTTAGATTAGGTTAGGGTAGGTTAGGTTAGGTTAGGGTAGGTTAGGGTAGGTTAGGTTAGGGTAGGTTGGGTTAGGTTAGGGTGTGTGTTGACAGCTGCACGCGGATCAATACCCTCGCCTGGGCCTACATACCGTCCTCGCCTGGCCACGTTCTGGGGTACACAACACACACACACACACACACACACACCGTCGGGAAGGAAAGGTTCACTCACATGGGTGGCACCCTTGGCACTGATTAGTACACATGTGACACTCCTTTATTTTCATAGCATACGGCAGTGATTGGCGCATGTCGCAGTGACGCATACGGCAGTGATTTACGCATTCCACAGTGATTAGTGCATATGACAGTAATTGGCGCATGTCAGTGATTTATCCATGTTAGCGATTGGCGCATACTGCATTGATGTACGCATACCTCAGTGGTTGATGCATACCTCAGTGGTTGATGCATATGACAGTAATTGGTGCGTAAAGAGTGATTAGTGCATACCATAGTGAGATCGTCGCATACCTGTACACACTTACGATACACTTATCTAATTTATCATTCCATGGTGGTGAGTGTGCAGTGAAGTGTGATGAAGCGGCCCTGTTGTGGGGGTAGTTGGCCCTGTCTTACTGCCTGAGAGAGAGAGAGAGAGAGAGAGAGAGAGAGAGAGAGAGCGCATTGTAAGTGAAACGTGACTGGCAATATCCGTAGATTTTTCCTTGCTCCCCTCTCGCTCTCTCTCTCTCTCTCTCCAGTATTAATTCCTCGGTGCACATAGTTTTATATACAGTAAGGAGAGCACCAGTGTTGTTACAGATATTACAAACACTTGGCTGTACCTGTATCATGACCTTACTTTTATTGTATCGGCGTTACAGTGTGTTATTAGTATGTGAGGAATTGTTTTGGTGTTGTTGACGGTGGTGGTGGTGGTAGTGGGGGAGGAGGCGGGGAGGTGGAGGAAGGCGCGGGGAGGTGGAGGAAGGCGCGGGGAGGTGGAGGAAGGCGCGGGGAGGTGCAGGAAGGGAGGTGGAGGAAGGCGGGGAGGTGGAGGAAGGCGGAGGTGCAGGAAGGCGCGGGGAGGTGCAGGAAGGCGCGGGAGGTGGAGGAAGGCGCGGGGAGGTGGAGGAAGGCGCGGGGAGGTGGAGGAAGGCGCGGGGAGGTGGAGGAAGGCGCGGGGGGCGTGTCAAAGTATTGATAAAGTGTGTTAGTGTATGCTGTCCGTACCGCAATCTTTTAATTATTAATCTGACCCCACCACCTCGTCCCCAGAAACCACGCCCACACGCCCACATACCCACCATTTTCACCACGCCCACACGCCCACCATTTTCACCACGCCCACACCAATGATCACGCCTCTACCACTACCCTCCTCAACCCCCCTTCAACTACCCACCCCCCCCCTTTACCATCCTCAAGTGAGCCAGTTAAACACGTTCCCACATCACCAGTTAAGTGAGCCAGTCAGATACAGTCTCTTAATAACCAGTTAGTTAGTGCCAAATATAGCTTGTAATAGAAGCTTTTGTTAACATTGGTTGGCAAGGTCAAAAATTAGTCACAGGTGTTGATGTAATTGACACACACCTGTATATACACGGTCTTTGTCGTGTGTGTGTGTGTGTGTGTGTGTGTGTGGTAGTTGAATGTATGTTTGGAAAGTGTGCTTGGGGGTAAAATGTGTATGTATGTATGTATGTATGTATGTATGTATGTATGTATGTATGTATGTATGTATGTATGTATGTGTGATGAGAGAGTGGGTGTGGTGGAGGGAGAGAGAAGGGGGTGATGGGGTAGAGAATGGGGAAGGGAGGGGAGGGAGGGAGGGTCACACATTACCTGGTAGTGGCCAGGTGCACTTATTGGGAGAGTAATGTCCTTCCTCACTAGCGACGAACACCTGGTGGGTCGCCGGCGTACAGGTGTTACGCTGCCCCTCTCCTCCTCACCACGCGCTCACCTTCTCTCACCACGCGCCCCTCCTCCAGACGCGCCCCTCCTCCTCCTCCCCCACGCGCCCTCCTCACCACGCGCCCATCCTCCTCACCACGCGCCCCTCCTCACCACGCGCCCCTCCTCACCACGCGCCTGCCTCCTTCACCTCTCACCACTCTCCCCTCCTCCTCCTCACCACGCACCTTCTTTCTCCTTCATTCCGTCCCCTCTCTCTCCTTCTCTTCCATTCCGTCTCCTCCTCCACCCCTTTCACTTTAAACACGTGCGTGGGGTGAGAGAGGCAGTGTGGCGCATGATACCAAGTGACAGAGTGGATGAGAGTGAGAGGGAGTTGACAAAGAAGGTCCCCACACGTATGTTAATCACCCCTAACACTTGTAATGGGGGGGGCAGTGCAGTATAGGTGGAGAGTGAGTGAGTCAGTACCTTGTTGAGGTTGACACTTATCGTCGGTGTGTCCCTCTCTACCTGTCACACGAAACACACCTGTGTGTGTGTGTGTGTGTGTGTGTGTGTGTGTGTGTGTGTGTGTGTGTGTGTGTGTGTGTGTGTGTGTGTGTGTGTGTGTGTGTGTGTGTGTGTGTGTGTGTGTGTGTGTGTGTGTGTGTGTGTGTGTGTGTGTGTGTGTGTGTGTGTGTGTGTGTGTGTGTGTGTGTGTGTGTGTGTGTGTGTGTGCGTCTGTCTTTGTTCACCACTTAGAGCTGACTCAGACACATGTGTGGCACCTAGGGGAAGCAGAACACGTGGGAAACTGTGCTACGATTCTTATTGCTGGTGGTGGTGAGGCCGTGTTGACATGTGCCTCTGATAGTGAACGTAACCTCATGTTAATAAGAAGCATTAACAGTGAACACAATCCTGGTAATCGTCAGATGTTTAGACAGTGAACAAGTGCCTTGGTTAACACATAGACTTAAGAGGGTTGGAGAGCGACATTACCCCGCTTAGGTAAACATTCTACGGGGTGCGTTATCTTCCACGACCCAAAACTCCTGTTAATTTAGTTTGTTATTCAGTGTTGACAGACAGACAAACAGAAGCGATAACCAGCAATATAAACAGAAAAAAAAGATTATAAGCTTGTTTAGTGTTTGTGATGTTTTTAACTAATGTGTTTGTTTATGGCGCCATCAGGGTATGAGAAACATAATTGTAAGATTATGTGTAAAACCTGCACGTGTAGGAGAGTTTGGTGACGGTGTGACGCTGCCTCAGACCACGCCAGACCTGCAAGTGACGGAAGAGTAACAAGGTTTTTAATGAGAGTGTTGTGAGTGACATTATTGGAGAGCTGTGAGTGACGGTTAACGAGTCTCACTTGAGGAGTAACTGTGAGGGTGGTGAGACAACTTCTATACTCCCCTTGAGGAAGATGGTGCTGGTGTTATTAATATGGACGAGACTTTGGTTGTAAACAAGAATCTCTTTAGTGACAGAAAAAATTACGAGATCATTTAAAGAAGTGTAAACAAAAATGATTGTAACTTGAGTTTAAAAAAAAATACCTTTATTGGAGTGTTACTTGAGCATTAACGAAAAGGGAAACGAAGCGAGAGTCAACACAGAGCTATGAAGTTGAGGACAGTGGCAGTGGTGTTGGTGATGATAGGAGGGGCGTCAGCATGGGGAGGCGGCGGTGGTGGTGGTGGTTGTTCATGTGCTTGTCAACGATGTGGTGGTGATGGTGGTCACTACATCCCCCCGCCCTCGCCCTTATCGCCACCACCGCCCACACCACCCACTAGCCCTCGCGGTCCTCTTCCTGCTGGTGGGGATCTGGAGAAGCCATCTGGGTTCCTTGGCCAGCTTGCAGACGACGCCAGCGGACCCAACCTGACTGTGTGGGCGGTGATGGGCGAGCTCATTGCCCCCTTCTCCCGATGTATGTCTTCCGCCTCACCCCTTCCTCTTCCTCCCTTCCTCCTCACCCCTTCCTCTTCCTCCCTTCCGCCTCACCCCTTCCTCTTCCTCCCTTCCTCCTCACCCCTTCCTCCTCACCCCTTCCTCCTCACCTCTTCCTCCTCACCTTCCTCCTCACCCCTTCCTCCTCACCCCTTCCTCCTCACCTCTTCCTCCTCACCCCTTCCTCCTCACCCCTTCCTCCTCACCCCTTCCTCTTCCTCCCTTCCTCCCTCACCCCTTCCTCTTCCTCCCTTCCTCCCTCACCCTTCCTCCTCACCCCTTCCTCCTCCCACCCCTTCCTCCTCACCTCTTCCTCCTCCACCTCTTCCTCCTCCCCTTCCTCCCTCACCCCTTCCTCCTCACCCTTCCTCCTCACCCTTCCTCCTCACCCCTTCCTCCTCACCTCCTCCTCCCCTTCCTCCTCACCCCCTTCCTCCCTCCCCCTTCCTCCTCACCCCTTCCTCCCTCACCCCTTCCTCCTCACCCCTTCCTCTTCCTCCCTTCCGCCTCACCCCTTCCTCTTCCTCCTTCCTCCTCACCCCTTCCTCCCTCACCCCTTCCTCCTCCCCTTCCTCCTCACCCCTTCCTCCTCCACCCCCTCCTCACCCCTTCCTCCTCCTTCCTCCTCACCCCTTCCTCCTCACCCTTCCCTCCTCCCCCTTCCTCCCTCACCCCTTCCTCCTCCACCCCTTCCTCCCCTCACCTCTCTCCTCTCTCTCCTCACCTCTTCCTCTCACGAGTCTCCTACGTCTTCTTCCTCCTGCTGCACGCCCACTCATCCTCGCCTTTCTTATCTCCTTGTGTGTGTGTGTGTCGTCATTCTTACCTGCCTAGCACCTCACCTTTGCCGCCTCACACCTTATAATTAAGTACCTCACACACACACACACACACACACACACACACACACACATATGTTGGTTTTATTTTGTTTAGCTTAAATGAACAAGTATGAAAGGTTCCGTATTATCGTTAAGGGAAAATTATTATAGTTAGTAATAGTCGTAGTAGAATTTGTGTTGTTGTTATTATTCTCCCTCACTCTATATCTGTATCTTGGTAGGTCAGGTCAGGTTAGGTCAGGTCGAGTCACAAACTAACAATCACATTGAGCATCAGATAAAGACACTAATGTTTGTTCTCTCCGGTCTTTACAGCCTTCATCCAGGTGGATAACGAGTTGAAATACCTGGTGGATGGCGTGGCAATACACATGAACGAGGTAAGTTCACCCACTGATGACCTGTGACCCGCCTGTGACCTGCCTGTGACCTGTGAGTGATCATAGGTGTTTTGGTCTTACCTGGAGTGACCTGTGGGTATCTTTATCTGACCTGGGAGTCTGAGTGGAGGACCTGTTATCTGTGGTCTGACTTGTTGTGACCTTGTGTGTGTGTTCAGGAAGGGCAGGTATTCGTCCTAATGTGAAACTTCTTTAAATCACTACAAAATTGTCCAACAGCTCAGTAACATCATCTCAAAGATCGCCAAAATTCACTCAAATTAAGGAACCTCGGAAATTCGCTATCTATTTGGTGAATTTTCAACTTGGTTCGTAAAACACCGAATTAGGGGTTCGAGGTGGGGGGGGGGGTGAGGGTTCGGTTGGATTCAGCTGGATTAGGGTGGAAGTGGTCGTGGGCTTCGGATGGTTTCGAAGGGGGTCGTTTAGAAAGAGAGAGAGAGAGAGAGAGAGAGAGAGAGAGAGAGAGAGAGATTTTAACATGTGTAGTGTTAATCTGCATTACGGGTGTATAGTGTTTAGTGAGTGTTACACATGTGTTGGTGTAGTTTTACAAGTGTAGTGTTACAGGCAGTATGTTACACAGGGTACGGTGCCCCTGGAGCTGCTGCCTGGGTTGGCTTACCACTGCGCCCAGCACCACGAGGAACACCCGCCCCTACACCCTGAAGAGCTCAACCTACGGCCCTGTCCACACCAGCGTCAGCGTCTTGACCTGCGTGACTGTGACCGTGAACAAGGTGGCCTGCTGGACCCTCGCACTTGTATCCGGCTCCTCCACCACAGCCCCAGCGTGCCGCCTCCGGGCTCCTGCACCCTCGACGTGTGCTACTCTAAGTCCTCCACCCAGGAGCAGAGTTGTGTGGACGTGTTTATGGACACCTTGCCCCAGGAGGCGTGTGTGCCCCAGTACATGGTGAGAGACCTCCTGCACGCCGGGAAGCCCTCTACCCTCCCCCGCCTGGACACACAGGTGCACATCATGCACGTGCACGAGACCAAGAAAGAGACGGACCTGCCGATGCTTGTGCTACACCTGCATCAGTATGCGCAAGATATGGACGTGGAGAGGCTGCCCCCCAGGCCATGCCCCTCCCCGCCCGACAACTGGACGCCCAGCTTCAAGTCTAACATACCTTGGCCCTCGATGATGGCGTCGAGGACACCGCCGCCCCGACCACCTCAGCCTGAACACCACTGCTGGAACATGAGTGGTGAGGGACCCGAGCCTGGCCTCACCTGCCACTTCAGACCACTCTGGTTACCCACCAAGGTACACCACCTGCTGCCGCCACCACCGCTCATAACTCTTGTTGCTCTGCTGTGCTTGTAGTGTGTGGGTGCTTGGCCACGGTCAACTCTACCCGCTGTTGCTTACTGGGTCAGGCTCCACGGTGTGTTGGGCTCCGTGGTGGGGCAGCTACACCTCGCCGGGGTTGTAGTAATACCACTTACTGGACTGTACCTGTCTTAAGCTTTGACACATGTTGCTACCTACCCGTGTGTGTGTGACTATGGACGTGTGTGGGGGAGGGTGTGCGTGTGTAGGATGTGTGTGTGTGTGTGTGTGTGTGTTCCCAAAGCTTTCCTCTCAGACGACGTGTGACACAGCTCCTGCAGGCGACCCCCTCTCACTTCCTTGTATTAATTAATGCTGTTTATCTCAGGGAGTTAATGTGTGGATGCTGTTCTTATGTGCCGCTGCTGCCTTCACCACTACCACCCCCACATACCACCACCACCATCACCACCACCTACACCTACCATCACCACCACCTACACCTACCATCACCACCTACAACCAATGTCACCACCACATTACCTACAAACACTACAACATCACTACTCTCTCTTACCACACGTAATTGTGGTGTGTGTGTGTGTACCAACTGTGTGTTCACGTCACATCTTGCTATCATCCTCCTTCATCAGTACAACCCCCATCTCCCTCCCCCCTCCCCCACATATAAGCCTTACACCCCCCCCCACACATGGCTGAGAATACATTAATACATTACTGTTGTTGTTGTTTTAGGGGAGGTTATTGTGTTATAATTAAGGTGTAACATCTGGCCTTTGATTCACCTGTCGTGGTGATTATATTGTCCTCAAACAAGATACCTGTAACCTTCCTTCCTTCTCTTTTTAACCCTCCCACTGTTTTATCCCTCTCTCTCTTCTTTCCTTGATCTATATATCAGCTGTGCTTCTGTTTGCCTCATATTCAGCAGTGATTTGTGGTGGTGTTTCTCTTTCTTTCTGATAAATATGATCTCAGTGGAAAGAAATAACACACACACACACACACACACACACACACACAGTAACGAGTTCTCCCTATGGTTATCTCATTATACAGTAATCCCGTGTTTTTCGCGGGAGTTACATTCCTGAAACCCCCGCGAAAAGCCCAAACCGTGAATACTCTTTTAGGATTCACTGTACCTGTGGCCACCAAACAGCTCAGGTAGGTCATGCACTTAACCACACCATGCTCTCCACTCACGGCCCAGTGGTCACACTGATCACTGATGCACTGTACCGGCATTTACTAACATCATTATTTGAAACTAATCATATTGTAGTATAATAATGGAAAAACGTAAACACAGTTATATACAAAAAAAAATTATTTACAAGTAAATAAAAAAATGTATATTTCGCTGAGGTCGGCGACACCCGCATGGCCAGCCTCTCCCTGCCCTCACGCCAGCCAGCCAGTCCACTTCCACCCACATTCCTCCACTTGAAGACTTGTATTCCGACAAAAAACACAAATGAATTGTCAATCTTCACCACATCTCGAGCCATAGCTCATACCACCTCTGAGCTTGTCCAATAAAACTGTCACTGTAGAGTCTGCTAGTAATATTTGCCTTTGATGAGGCTGGCTTATGTCCCGGAGCCATGTGGAATACACGTGAGAGGACAAACAGGAGAGGTAATCACAGTACGGTAGGCACGTGTGGACTGAGGCTTCTCGGAGCAGCGGGTGTCTGAGGCGGGAAAGGGTGGTGTCTGTTTGCTGCACCGCACAGGGGAATATCGAAAATGGTGCGAAATTAAAATTTTTGTTTTAAAGGATATTTTATATATACAGGGAGTATATATATAATTTTTAGTAACAAAAAACGCAATAAAAAAACCGCGAAAAACAAAGGATTACTGTACCTAACAACTAACAAGAAGAAAACACAACTTTAATTTATGTAATGACAAACAAGAACTTTTTTGCTTTCACCCAATGACTCCCAAAATTGGACATACTGTACAGTATATAGATATAAGGAAAGCAAACAAAATTATACTTCTTTCAGGAGAGTTAGAAAATTTATGTTTATAATTATTTAATACGGAGGAAAAATTACTTATAAATATATACCGTAATAGTGGAGACCAATAATAATAATAACACTGGCATTTAATATCAGTTTCATTGATCACTGGATAGTCTCACATAACATGAAGAACATTACCTCATGTGTTATAACATTGAACAGTGAAGAACTAATGAACACTGTTGAACTTAGGTGCTTCTCAGTCTTGCTTTATAAAATACTTACAAATGCTGTACGTCTGTCATAAACATACAGTACGTACAGTAATTAAGTTTTATTTATATTTTATTTTTTCATCAGAACTAACTTTAGGATTTTCTCGTTTCAGATTATAAAAACTGGAGAAACAGAAATAAGGTAAGATATTGGTTTAGTTTAGTTTTAATTATGAATATTAATGTTTGGTTTAAGTTTCTGTCAAGAGTATTGGCATTTTATCAATGAATAATGTTTGAAGTCTAAGTTTTATTTGTGTTAAGGTTTAGTTTTAAGTTTTATTTGAGAGTAATGGTAAGCCAAGTAATAAATGAAGATTGTATTAATGAAAGGAAAAATCGTAAGTTTGTGTGAAGATATTATAAACTTTTTAGAGAACTTTACTCAGATCAAATATAATTTTTTTGTACCGAGAAAATACTGTATTGTAAGTGTAAAGTACAGGTACTGTATCACTCGCTCCAAAGGTTATCTTTACCGGGGTGGTCCAATGAATTTCATAATGAATACTGACTCCTGTTGTCTCGGTAGGTGTTCAGAAGCCTCCGTCCATTGTGTCATATTGTCTCTCATAAAATTGTAAAGATATTTTTTGTGCGAGTGTTACAGTAATTACCTAGTGGTGAAGTAGTACTGTACACTGTGTTAATATAGTATTGTACTGTATTCTACTCTACTCTACTATACTTTACTCTATTCTATTTTGCTCTACTTGGCTCTACTCTACTCTATTCTGCTCTACTGTATTAATAAATGTACAGTGTAGATTTAAGTGTAAACTCCAGGTACAATACAGTACAGTACAGTAATTCCCATATGGCAGCTGTACCTGTATCACAAAAGTCTTTGTTTAACTTAGACATTTATAAAGAAATAATCTGTACCATATGCCTCAAATTACTGTAGTTAAATTAATTGAATTTCAGTTTACAGTACAGTATACAGTGTACTACCCCTAGAGAATGCAGAATATATTGCCTTTTAAATAGGAAAGATGTTAGGACTGTTGAACCCTGAATTGTATTGGTTCTTCAGATTTTTTTTTACAGTAGTTATGGCTTCTTTTCTATTTATGAAAGATCAATTTACTCTTTTTACGGAACACTTATGCCTGTAGGTGTAGTGAGTCTCGGATGATGATGATGTTATAATGTGTTGTGTTGTTATTAATTCCCAATGAATGCATTTTTTTTCTCTTACAGATATGGGGACATTGTTGACGATAAGGGGGTCCCTTCAAAAAATTATATTGTTTTCGATCCTCCACATTTAGATTTTAAAGAACAGTAAGTATAACTTTTTTCTGTGTGTTTACAATAATTAATTATATATATATATATATATATATATATATATATATATATATATATATATATATATATATATATATATATATATATATATATATATATATATATATATATATATATATATATATATATATATATATATATATATATATATATATATATATATATATATATATATATATATATATACACACATGTGTGTGTGTGTGTTACAACTGGAGTATTGGAATTAATGCGTCAGACTCTGTGTTATATGTGACAATGTAGTGCGAGAGGATTAAGTTAGGTGTTGGGTGTCTGAGGTGAAGGCCATCACACTGAGCCGCACCTTCACTTGTTTCCTCAGTCCAACAGGGATGCCCCTTATGCGGAAAGTAGTGGTGCAGAACAGCAGCCCAGAAAACAGTGTGCAGCTCCACTCATTATCGGGCAACACACTCCACTTCCACTGTACCTTTTTCCAAGATAAGGTCAGTTATGGAAGCTTCTCTTAGTTTATTTACATTAGTTATCTAGAATTATTTTATGCAGATAATTGAACAGTTACTGGGAGCACCTGAAGATTAAACACCCTAGTGCTAACCTAACCCCCACCCCCTCCTAGGTAGCATAAGGTAGCATCAGGTGAAATAAGCTGGGGGGCTAATCTTCAGGTGATCCATTTATTGTACTGTACAGGTATATATAGGATTCACAAATGTACCTCTAGTTGACAAAAGTTATACTGTAGTCTTGTTGACAATACTTTATACAAAACTTTTCATTCATATCATTAATGAAATATTTGAGGAATGCCTCCAGAAATATATTTTCTCATGGTTGTGAGTAATGCAGTAAATCACAGATGTCAAATATGTTTTAAACTTATAAATATTTTGACCATTAACATTTTGCTACAGTTCACTTAAATGTACAATACGACGTATGATACAAGAGTGTATTCTACGGTGTATTATGAAGCTAACGTTCGGTGTGGTCTACCAGGTAGTGTTACCGGGCGGGAACACCTCCTTCGATGTGGTGTTTTTGGGCAGGGAGGAAGGCCTCATAGAAAACACTATCTTTATACACACCTCCATAGGCACATACAAATATGGGGTACGTATGTCTTCGTCTCGTGTACTTTATTACTCAAGTACCGTCCTGGTTGAACATTTAGTGGCAGAGATATTCAGTGTCTTTTTAGAACTACTGTACTGTATATCATATTTGCCCTTTTAAATCATATTTCTTGTATTTAAAATTTCATGTTCAAAGTTATTACTGGCAACTTATTTTGTTTAGGAGTAGATTATATTAAATAAAATTGACTTTGTGTTGAGATATACAATGTTGTACAGTTGTATATGTGATACTAATCTCTCTTGTATTTTATAGGTACGAGCAGTGGGAACAGGGAACCCCTACAGACTGAGGCCGCTGGTAGGGGTTCGCATGCCTCTAAACTCCTCATACTCCCCCTTAATCCAGCTGCACAATCCACATCCACATTCCCTACAGGTGAGTGGCTGGCAGCTGATTGGCTACAACAAACTTGCCTACTGTCCTAAGGATTGGGGGTTTGAGTCACACAGCTGTTAATGTGCACAAGAACATAAAATTTCTGTGTATGATTTTCACCGTCCATACAACTAACTTCCACTGTTTAAGATATGAAGAGGAACAACCTGGAGTCTATAAAGCAATACTGTAATAATAATCGGTCTCCCCCCCCCCCTCCCCAGATCACAGAGATGTACAGCACTGGGGGGGACCTCCACCTTGAGCTGCTGTCCGGTACACAAGAAGGTCAGAAGAACGTGTGGAACATCCCGCCCTACCACACCCGGGCGCTGATGAGAGCCAATTTTGTTGCCCGTAGAGAGAACAACCACACTGCTTATGTCAGGTGTGTGTCACGGTAGACCTTCAAGTGTCGTAAGAGACTACAGTATGCTTAGATATTTTTAAAAAATTCATCATGCACGACTTAATTTTACATGACGAAGGAGTGCGGCAGCAGAGGAGACACAAGCGGATGTCGGGAATTTTACTCGACGTGTGTTTAGACCTTAACCACTTTTGTACGGGGTCCTCTCTGTGCCGAATAAGATATTAAAACTGGCATCCCTGTAGTGAAGGGGTCAACGGTCTTCACAGGAACACATGTCAAGAGTAGAATTCCCAGCGTGTTTCCTCTGCTCTCTACCTCACTCCCATCTGTCCAGGTGAGTTATATTTACTTACTAAATTATGACTACAGTGAAACCTCTATATAGTGCACTCTTCTCTCCATGTAATCTGTTCGATGGGGGTCTTACGTCTCACAGACCCTCAATATAATGGACAGTCCTCTCCATATAGTCCATTAAGTAGCGGTTTCACTGTATAGAACGATTGAAAATTGTAATGTGTTCAATAAATAATATACGTGTATGTCTCTCTCCTGATAGTTTGTCATCAGTCGCTTCCTCCCTTGACAGAATCGTGACCAGCGAGACGGACAGTGACTACCTTGTGGTACCGGTAGAGGTGGAGGTCTCCGGTCAGCCTGGCCTCTTCTGTCCACACGACGGCCTCCATTTTGGTCTCCGCACCCCACACGATCCTCCTTCGTCGCTTCCCTTACACCTCCTCAATTCTGCCCACAAGCACATACACATTCAAGTAAGTCTCTCATCATGTGCGGTGGTGTGTTGGGGTCGTATTTTGAAATGCATGAATAGATTTGCACTGTACAGCCACTCAAATGTGTATTTAATGTACATGTGAGGTCCTGAAATCCTGTATGTATGTTAATTGGATGTATGTTACCTGATGTATATTAACAAGGTAAACATTAAGCCGCCAACACTGATAGTATATTATATATTAAGAATCTTTATTGGTGTACTGGACTGTAGTGAAGTTGGTGCCTTGGTGGGGTGTAAGTGGGCCACAGCACCTGAGCTGTTGGTATCTCATGTTTCCTTTCTCAGGTAGCATTAGTATGCAGAGTTGCTCAGTGGATAAATTATACACTCGGTGACTGTGCTCAAGATTGTAAGGAAATTCATTACTTTCAGAATGTGATAACGACTCCGGTGAATGATGCAATAACGATTGACTTTAAGCCAATGAAGATACCGCCTGGAACAGTGCGACCAACACAAGTAGCGACTGTAACCTTCGATCGTTAGTGTTTTGTTGCTCTACTGTTTTGTTATATATATAATGTATGTACTGTATACTACATTTTTATTACAGTATATGTATATATGTACAATCAAAAACAAAAGTCATGTCGAGGTTTTATCCCAAGATTAAATATAACTCGTGAAACATAATGAGAGCCCCCTACCACAAGGCAGAGCGCACCAAAAGTTTAGTCCTTCGGCATATGTTTTCACCAAATTTCACAACACGACTTTTGTCTTTCATTGTACACTGCACTGTTTTGTTGTACTGTACTGTATATGTATGTTCACTGCACTCATTTGTTATGTATACTGTACAGTATATGTAATTACACCAGTGGATCACCTTGCCAGAATATAATAATTTTATGTGTTAATACAACACCCTTACTGGGCACCACAACAGTACCTTCACCTCTAAACCTGGTTAAGTGTTTGCTGATTTTATTATATGTATTCTGTTGATCCACTCATTAATATTTTAGCTGAAATTATGGTACAAGGAGCTAAAAATATGCATCTGACCATCATAGGTGTTCAGGTGTGTCTTGTAAAACACACCATCAAATCTAGACCTGCCCTGATTGGCTTGTAAACAGACCATCAAATCTAGACCTGCCCTGATTGGCTTGTAAACAGACCATCAAATCTAGACCTGCCCTGATTGGCTTGTAAAATACACCATCATATCGAGACATGCCCTGGTTGGCTATTTATTGGAAAGTATGTGGCCACTGATTGGTGCTCTCATGCCAAGATGTAATAGAAGGCTACTATCCACTGGCTCTCTCAGTTGCAGTAAACAAAACTAACCATTTAAGACACTTGCCGTCACATGCTCTCTGCCTTCTGCTTGTGTATCATTCATCTATGTCGTGACACATACACACTGTTGTTCATTTGACATACAAAACCATCAGTTCCTTTTATTAGTAGGTTGTATTATTTATTTATTTATTTTTTTACAAACATAGGAATTGTTTGAGAGATGTTGTGCTCAATGAAAATCTGTTCTTGGTCATATATATGACTGTTGAAATTTATATAAATCCTAAGAATACACAACTTAAGTTATACATGTACTAATACTCTCCAAATCTCAACAGCTTCAAAAGTGACAAGTGGCAAGAAAATCTCGGGGAAGATCCTGATTAAAAGTAAAGTATCGGCTTATAAGCTGAGTGTTCCCTATACAGTCGACCTCCTCCAGGGGGCTCTGCTCTATAACACCTCCATCACAAAATTTTACACCGGTGCAGGTGAGAACATTTCCTGTGGTTTTTTATGTTAAAATGTCCTTTAGAATGTTAAAAGTTTGCATTTGTAAACATTTTATCATGATGCAGTACAAACCCTAGTAGAAACTTAATGTAATAATCTTTATTAGTAAAACTGGTGGTCATGTCATGTGATGGCTGCCAACAATGGGTCTTGGATATATTATAGATGTACCAAAGTGTTTTGTTGTAATGATGAGGTTTCCACATACTGTAGTTGTGTTAACTAGTTTACACCTGTAGTACTTTAAATTCACAGGATCTCCAAACATTGCCTTGTTATTATTGTTGTGCACTGTGTCTTATTTATTACCCCTTCAAACCTTTACCTTCCATGAATGAGGATAATCACAAACACACAGTCATTCTCCCTTCATTCATTGCCATTCATTTATTTTTGTTACTGTAATAGACGTGTTCTCCCTCATCTATCCGTCCAACTTTATTTAAAAAGTATGTACAGTTGAGCCTTTACTAAACACTGCTTCCATTTTCACAGATATTGGATCTTCTGAAGCACAATCGGGAGTATCTTTCGGGACGGTGGCAGGTGTTGTGGCCGCAGCGGGAGGTGGAGTGGGCGGGGGAGGTGGCACAAGCAACCCCAGCAGTGAACCTCGCAACCTCACCCTCACCAATACGTTTCCCTGCCCGGTTGTCATATATAACCTGACCCTTCCTGACGAGGCCAAGAAGCATTTTGAGGTACAGTTTAGTTGTATATAATTAATGGCGAGTGATTTTCTGATTTTGATATGTAAGGACAATGATATATATGGGAGATTATAGCTTAAAATTCATTGTAATTGGAAGTACTGTATGAGCTGTACCTCAGAGTGTCCAAAAATAATTAATTGAAGTCCGGTACATAGAAGCTTTACTGAAAATGAATAAAATAAATAATTATATAAAATGCATTTCCCTTAAAACAAGTTGTACTACTGGTGGTATACGCAGTTTTAACAAGATACTGTAGTGTGTTTGTTAAAACCTTGAGTAGTGGAACTATAGTCATCTCAGTGGCCATAAAACAATAATAATGATGATCATTAACTTAGGAACACTCCAGTTATTTCACCTAATGATTAAACAACCTAATATTAAATGGGAGGATAGGGTGGTTGAGGTTAGGTTAAGTTAGGCAGGTTAAGTTAGGGTGTTTAATCATCTGGTGAAATAAGCAGAGGTTTTCTACTCTTCATGAAGGCTAAGGTAATTGAAGTACTAGAATTCAGTTTTATTCTACAAAGTATAAAAGAAAACTAATAATAGTTGACTATCTGTAGTAATGCTAATAGAATATCTTATTTTTAGATTGGCTGGGACGGTCCAGTGGTTGTACAGGAGGGACAAAGTGCACATGTGGCGACCCTGCAGCTGCTCAGTGTCGGCACAGACGCCCGCCTCTCCACTGCCATCACTGTACACACCAACATTACCACTATCAAAATTCCATTACGGGCATATAATGGCAAGCTCACGAAGGTAGGAGCTTCTTGACTCGCTTTGTTTATGGTGTATTTATTCATTTCATGACATGCTGCACATAAGATGACCATTGAAGCTTAAAGAAATTCCCCTAAGACTAGAGGTTATTTTATAGACCAAATGTAAAATGTGAACATTTAATAATTGACAGCAAGTAAGGAGAGTGTCACCTGGCATTCTCTGTTCATCTAGGAACCATTGTGTTTTGGTTTTAGTCCAGTATTGTGTTATTATTGTCTGTGAAGTGTTCAAACTAAACACATCCTGGTGTTGGCACCAGTGTGGCATCTTGAATAGAAAAAGTGCTATTACTTCACTCAATTTGATTTATTCTTGATTTAAGAAAACTAGGGGTTGGGAAGGCTATTTTCAGGTGATTCATTAGATCGATTCTGTAAAATCTCATATGAAAGTTTTTGTTTTGTCTTTTCAGTACATTCCTCCGGTTGGTGGCGACTCTTGGTTAGACTTTGGCACGCTAGGCATGGGAGACCATCGTGATATATATTTTTATGTTATTAATGAGAATCCTGTGGAACTTCGGCTACGGGGCTGGGGGTCAAACTTAACAAGGAGTGCAGTGGAGCTCATGGGTGTGGAAGAAGGAAATGTGACAACAATAAAAAACCGTAACAACATGACCTACGCTTCTAAAAGTGTGAGTACTGCGTGTGATGAAAATATCTCTTTCGCTCTCTCTCTCTCTCTCTCTCTCAAAACACACAAGTCACTGTGCAACTTCGTTATCCCAGTCACTTTAAACAGAATATACCAGTCCATGGCCCAATAAGAATATACTTAAACAGTATCAGTGAACTTCCCATTAGCCAGAATAATTGGTGCAGAGCAGTTCCAGGTTTGAGAGGTTTCCTGGTATTGAAACAAATTTTCTTATCTCTGGAATAAATCACACATCCCCAGAATTTTTCCCGTCATTGGTGAATGTTATGCATAAGACTGCAGTCAGACAGACGCAGAGCTGTAGTTATTTATGCAAACACTACTGTACACATACAATATATTGTAAATAAACAAAGTATACTACTGTATACTCTTTACTGTACTCACTAGCAGATGCTGTCGTCTTAAGCTTGTAATGCTGGTAGGCCAAATGGTACTATGATGATAGAGGATGATGATCTGCTTTTATCCTTTAGCATCTACTGTAGCAGGTGTTGTTAACTGCCACTTCCCTCTCCCTCCATGCACTGTATACTGTACATACACCCTCTACACACTAGCCTACAGTAGGCATACACTGTCCTCTCTCTAAATAATGTTAATGTAATAATTCAAAATCTGAGCTCCCTCTACTAGTCCCGTCAGTAACCCGGCCTCAGAGATCTTGTTCCAGTGTCCCTGCCATCTCTGTGTGCCTCAGCGTATCTGTCATTCTCTTCCTCCATTAGAATTCTTAATGTAATGAACAATTATTGATATATCTTTTTATTTGCCATTGCAGTTATTTTTGAAGCCCAACCACTATGCAGCGTTCAGAATTGGTGTTCTGACCCCTGACACCGAGGGTATATTTATTGCCGAGTCATTCGTCCAGACACAGTTTGAGCAAATCAAGATTCCCTTTCGATTACGCACAGCTGACGGCTCACTCAGTGTGGTACCAAACACGCTAATATTCATTAATGCTTTTCCAGTAAGTATTAACACTTGTTATGTTTATTGTAACATTTATCAAGCCAAATGTTGATGATATCATTTCCTGGTAGCCCATAAATACTTCTACTTACAGTCCAGGTACAGCATCCTTAACCTTCACTATTGAAACTCGAAGAGTGAATTGATATAGATACATTATATATTTCTTATGTTTTACTGATTTTTTGCTCTCGTCTTTCAGGGAAAAATTTCTCATCAAAATTTACACATACTATCTACATTTGGTCATCCAATGACTGTAAAAGAAGTGAAGCCTCTACCATCAGACACGAGGTTTTCATACGAGCCAAGTCAGAGTTCTCCGTCAACTTTACAACCTGGACACAAGAGTCATATTGGGAGGTTGGTGTTTGACCCCAAGGTTGAATGTGGCACTGAGTGTTACACTGGCTTCCCACTCTCAGGCAAAGGTGAGAAATTCTTTTCGCTCTACTGTATAAATTACTGGCATCCCATTTTCAGGCAAAGGGCTGGAAAAACTCACGTAAAACATATGTAGCTGATGTTTTTTAAACAGTTGAATTTTTATGATCATCTAATCCTAATTATATAGAATTACATTGCAGTACTGACATAATTAATATAATTTACAGCCGGTCAGCAATGGGTGAATACACTGTCTTTAACGTCACACGTGGCAGACACCGACACCAATTTATACTCAACATTACGAAGTCGTTATCTCAATCTATCTGCTGCAATCTTCAATACCTCAATAGTTCTTCACACATCGGAGGTTCATGGCTTCCACTTCACTGCTCAGGTCAGAACTGGACCTCCAGAATTTCTGTATGTCTACAAAATATTTATGAACATTGAAGAAAGTAATGAATGTCACATCATTTGGAGTACAGTATTGGCTAGATTTATTTGTCTCAAGTGAAATTACTATTTGGGTGAGATACATATTTCCATTTTTATGATAAGGAAGTTTGATTTCTTTTTCTGTATCCTCTCAGGCTGCACTCAATTGGCCTGTTTTGTGTTACCCTCAACACCTGACTTTCCCCTTAACACAAGTGCTCAACACAAGTATCCATGATGTGTTTGTGGAGAACCCAGCGAGTGTTCCTGTAGTGGCCCAGATACTGCTGCTGCATCACTACCCCGCCACACAGCAGCTCCTCTCTATCATACACCATCAGTGAGTTCCTCGTAATCACTTCTTTTAGCAGGTCCTTCGTCGGGCTTGGATGGTGACTTATTCTGGCACATTGACTTACACTGTCTGCATTTCCTTCTGGCCAATCATTTTGTTTCCCTAGGAATTTTTTTATCTGTTTTCATTATACTTTTGTGTATGTCTGTTGTGTTTTACGGAGAAGAATTTATCTTAAAAGTTTAAGAATTTAACGGAAGAGAATATTTGTTGAAAGTACATGTAAAATATTGGTAATGATGAATGCAAAAAAACCCACAAGAATGATTTGTTTCTTTTTCTCTTGAGTTTATTAGTGGTTGTGTCTGGTAAATCATCTCCCAGTGGCCTTCATAAACTGGTATTTTACTATTTCTCTTATTATGTTCCTAAATTTATCTTAACTTACCGGTAACACCTTGATACTTATGAACTCTTTCCATAGTACTGTGTATGTTAGCCGTGATACCACCTCATTATCATCATTGTTTTACGGTCATTTTCCACACATGTATTGGTTAGCCATGATTAACGTGGTGTAAGTGAAATATGGAAACGTGAAGTAATTTGTAGTAATGTGAAAAGGAATTTATATGTGCAAAAGTCATTCTGCAAATTGTAAATGTATATAAAGATGTTAAAACAAATTGGTGTTGTATACTATATGTTGGGGTACAAAATGGAAATGGAAATTTTTTTTCAAGTTCTGTAAAAAGTTATTCTGTATGTCAGATCTTTACAATTATTTCCTCCAGAATGATTATTGTATGTCCATATTCAAGTCAATAATATATATATACCTCGCTTTGACAGGTTACCAAATGGACACACGCTCTTGAACGAGGAAGGTAGTGGAGGAGGGAATTCAAACGACGTCTTCACCCTGGTAGATGCTGATAGTGTGGGAGGTGGAGGGACTAGAGGGGGCACAATGCCACCACCAGCCCCAGAGATAACAAGTGGTCTGGCTCAACATCGTAGGACTCTGGAGGAACAGTTCAAGACTCGGGTTGCAAAAGACAGTATTGCCATAATCCTCGAACCTGGAGTGAAGGTGAGATGAAATAATTATTTTGATATTTAAACGTGTTGTTGGCTTCGGCATGAAAATTTACAGTTCATCATTTTGGAAAGATATTTACAGATCTTTGTACATTTAACCGTTCTGCACTCAACTGTAAATGAGTTCATTATTGGGTACACTTGCTGAGGGGGAGCACCTGGACCAGCATCTGCTCACACTATATCATAGCAGCAAGAGGCTGTGTGAAAGAAAAAATCCTATTACGTACAGTTTTATATTTTAATTCTGTGCAGTACAGTAGTGGAGTGCTTGGGGAATAGGGATGTGAGAGTTTGTTAATTTACACTGTACAGTGAGGGAAATCCTGACTTAACTAAAGTGTACATTGTATATCATATATCTCACTGCATTCACAAGTAAATAATCTTTAAACTGTGGTATAATACATCGAACTTGAGTAATGTATGGAAAGTAGGATAGAGTGAAAAAAAAAGAAGAATTAACAGAGTCAAAACTGTAGAGACATAATAAGTTTGAATGTGTGTGATAGATCCAGCAGTGTTGATGTGTGTTTGTGATGATCGTGAGGCTTGCGAGTAACTTGTCAAGAACAGTGCGCCAGAACCGGCTCATTCTAACTTCAGTATAATATTGTTTTAAATTACACCGTTTCACATATCCGTTGAGACATTGTTACATAACTATTTGACAAATTTCATAACCGAATGACAGACACATATCAAATGTGACAATCTAAAATAACTGTTGGTGGTATGTCGTTCTCCAATTGTTACATTCTCAAACTATATGTAGACTGTCGGTTTATTGTTCACGTCTGTCAACTTCATAACTTATGTCAATCATTTCCGTTAGCGTGAACGAACAGTTAATTTAGATTGTCATTCGATATGTGTTCTGTCATTCGGTTATGAAATTTGTCAAATAGTTATGTAACAATTTCAATGGATATGTGAAAAGGTGTACTGCAGTAACTTTTAAAATGTGATGGATAATATATGGACAGCCTGTATGTTTTGTGTTGATGCAATTGAGGACTTTTAGTCATTGGATTTAAAAGACAATTTCTTTTTAGGTTAAAGTAAGACTCTCCTTCACACCACCTGATGAAAAGTTACATTCAACTGTGCTATTGGTACGAAACAACCTGACAGTTATAGATGCCATGCTGGTACAAGGTCGAGGAGGAAGAGGATTTCTAAAATTTGGCAATCGCAAGCCAGGGTCACCCATGCCTCTTGCCTTCAACATTGGGGCCAAACACTTAAAAGACTGTGATAGTAAGTAAATTTCATTATTTCTTTTATCTGTCAACTCCTATTTGAGTAAATTATGATTTTTCTCTTCTCATTTCCAAAGTGTTGACCTCTATGTGATGGTAACTTAAGAGTGAACAAGTTAGGTTAGGATGTTAGTATGGTGGTCATGGTCTATGAGTACATAGTAGTGAATAACGTAACACTGATCTAAGGATTGAGTCTAGGAGTATTAATTGGGTCTGAAGACTTTAATGTGTGCTTTAACTACATTAGTTTGTTATCAGAGTTTGACTATTCATTCAAAATTAATGAAATTATGTAAGAGAGTTTTACTCAGTTGTGGGTATATTTCTTTTCTATTATTTCAGATGCCAGAAGCTCAAAATACTATCAACCCAACTTTACAGTGAAGCGTTCATTTATGGCGCGCAACACTGGGGAACTGCCCGTCCAGGTGTGGGGCTTCAACATAAATGACTTACCTTGTGAGGGGTACGGGTTTAAGGTTCTCAACTGTGAAGGATTTCAGCTGGCCCCAAATGGTAGTCACAAGGTTGATATTGCGTTCACTCCAGACTTCACGCTCTCCAAGATACAACAACGGCTAATCATTCACACCAGTTTAGGATTGATAGGAGGACTGGACGAAGGGATGGTTTTGGTTACTAAAGACGAGCCAGGGAGAGTTGAATACTCTCTGGTCGCTACAGTACCGACCCAGCTGTTGGCAGAATGTGGAGCAGCTGTACCGAGACCAACATGGGAGCCACTTCTTTATTATGCTGTTCTGCCCCTAATGGTTGCCATGTTGGTTGGAGCAGTAATTCTCTCTGCCCTAGAAGCTGACCATATTCTCAAGACGACAATAATAGCCATGACCACCTCGTTACCAGCTAATGGACACACGCCGGGCTTTGACAAAAGTAAAGTATTCGACCTGAGGACCATAACCCACATAGACTCCAAAAATATGTCTGTCAAAAATGGCTATGCCAATGGCCACGCTCACATAGAAAACATAAAGAACAATAGTCCACTGAACACAAATACTAATAACAAGAAATCGTCATCAATGTCGCCCCTTGGTGAGGTAATGACCAATGGGAGGAAGCCGTGCTCAGGAGCCAATAGTAAAAAAATAGGCAACAATCAGATCACAAATTCTAGTACAAAGCCAAAGTATCTAAAACAGTCAGATAATAAGTCATGTCAGTCTGTTGCAGATACTTTCTCTGGTATCTCTGATAATCCTGCCACACAAAATCAAAGTAAAAATAGCAAAGGAAAAGGAAATAATGCTAAAGGAAACAATAGAAGTTTAGAATCCATGTCTTGGGCCAGATTTTTTCAGAGAGCCGTTGGTAAGAAGGAAGACAGCAACACAGAAACAAGTGATTCTTCAAATGGTAAGAAGTTTCTGAATAGTAATAACAGAGATGATTCTTCTGTGCTGAAGCAAAGTGTAGGTACAGAAACTGACCTGCACATTGTCGAAACATATCCTAAATTAAGAAGACGCATGAAACAAAGCAATGAAGAAGAAACTTCATCAACTACTACTGAGAGTTCAAATACTGACGACTTATCAATTAGTGAACGGGTAAGTAATTATTGTTATAAGCAGGTAAATGATGTGGTAATGAAAGTGTAATGACTGAATGGAAAGTTGATGATAATGATCTAAGTTTTGTGACAGGAAAAATGGCTCCTAGTAAAAGTAGGACTATGTCACTGATGTTTAATTATTACTCTATTGGTCAGTGTTTTCATGAATGAAGTAGGAAAAGATGAGAGCTAGAGTAACCCTTATCTGGCGGCAATCAACAGTGGAAGTTTGCATTACATTAGCTTGAGGATCATTAAAATTACTTTATTTTATGTACAGTAATAAGCATTTAGAAGTAGCACTGAGTGTTTACTTATATAAATACCATACATTACTCTTGTTACTGCCTAATAAGGAAATAACATTGATGTTTGTTTATATACATTGTACATCTCTTGCCAGGATACACCAATAAGTAAATCATCGGACATGACCTCATCTAGTCAGAGTGGGAAAACTTCCAAGAAAAGGAGCGGTAAAAGCAAAAATTCCATCAGTAAAAGCCCCAATAGTCAAGGGTCTCGCTCATCGTCGAACCAAAATGAAGATAATTCTGGTTTTGAAATCAGTACAAAGGTGAAAGGGCTGAAAAGATGTAAGGATCCCAGCGGGCGGAATTTCGGAGGCGATATCTTTCAACCCAACACGCTGGAGCTGCCGTACACCCTCAAACCCTTACGAAATAGAGAATCTGACCGAGAGAAGGACAGTCAAAAAACTCCCAGAGCAAATATTATTAAAGTAAGTCTTCCCTCAACTGTTCTTCTCCTCCATTACTTACAGTATACTACTGTATTGTTGACGTTTTACTAAATGTCTTGGATCATAGGGAAAAACACTGATTGTACTGCTGTATAACTTGCTGAGCTTAAGCAGTGTACTGTATGTGTAAGACTGAGTGGAGAGTGGCGATGGTTGTCTTAATTGTAATTCCAAATTTTGATAAGAAAGAAGGTACTTGTACAGTAGTAAAGATACTTACGGTAGGTGTAGTACTTCAAGGGTATCACTGACCAGTTTAGGGAAAATATCAATGGTACTTTTGTGTGTACTGCAGAGTACTGACTCAATTGAGAGTGTGGGCAGCGGCCGGTCTTCACCAACTCCAAACTGGGAAGAAGCACGGCAAACGTCAACAGATAGCCTGTCAGACCTGCCAACGCCCACCTTCACAGCAACACATCCAAAACCTCAATCTCAACCCCAGCCATTGGCTCCAAGAGAGTCCTCATACTCAGCTATACTGTTAGGAACAGATAAACAGGTGAGAAGACTCCTTTCATCGTAATCAATGTTGCAGTGCCAATTTTTAAGGTGCAGGAGCTGTCAAAATAATTTGTTTCCTAAACCGTGTATATATATATATATATATATATATATATATATATATATATATATATATATATATATATATATATATATATATATATATATATATATATATATATATATATATATATATATATATATATATATATATATATATATATATATATATATTGTCAATAGCAAGAGAAACAATTGAGTGTAAATGAGGCAGAAAGTCAAACCAGCAACCTGGGACTTAGTCACAATTATCGTGATGCCATATGGCAGCAGGGTCAACCATTAGACAACACATTATGCTTCCTAGTGCGAACTCTAGCATGATTATATTCAAATTAATCGCTATCTTATAAGAATTCCAGCAATGTAAATTATATTCTCCCCGGCCACTTCTGTGACATTTTATACGAAAATCAATCTAAAGAATATAAATAAACAAATAAATACTTCACTAGACCTTCGGCACCAGCTGTCAAACATGTCACTGTCACCTCCCCTCCCTCCCTCTTCCTCTCCCAGCCAGGGTTTGGTGGTTTTAAGTTTTTATCTTATATAATATCACAGACTAAAGTTAGGAGAATATAATTTGCATTGCTAGAATACTTGCAAGACAGCGAATAATTTGAATATAAACGTAATATATTTTACACAAAAGATAAAAAAATTTGCCATTTGTAATTAGAAATAAAATTCGTATGTCTTATGCGAACAATAGCATGTTTGTATTCAAATTAATCACTATCTTATAAGAATTCCAGCAATGTTAATTATATTCGCCCAGGTCAGTTTAGTGACATTTTATGATAGAAAAACTTAGTCACTCTTAAGGGCAGATAGATAAATAAGCACTAGACCTTGGCATCAACTATCAAATGTATCCCCCAATCTTCCCAGCGAGTAAACAGACCATTTTGCATCCCTTAATTTTAGCTGTGTTGATTTATGAGTGTTTCTTTTAACATAATACAACAAAAAACAATGTTTTGTTTATTCTAGGAGATGGACTGAGGTGCATCTGGGTAGACTGTCAATCATTTTAGTATTTTGTGTTTCTCTCAAGTACCAAACTAAATTATTCCATTGAAACAACACTTCGATTTAGTGTTAAAGCACTTCTCATGGAACGTGTATCTCCCGTTATATCGACGTTCTACTGTACTTGATCTACTTTATTGTGTTTTTCACCCATAAAAATTAAAATCTGTAACCTTCTCTTTTTTTTCTAGTAATTAAAAAAAATGCAAGAAAATTTCTAACAAAATTCATACCTTTTCAGAAAGCTAAAGTGACACCATTTGCCAAAGTTCCACCAGAGGTAAAGATGGTTGACAAACCTCTGGGTGTGATAGGCCAGAAGGTGAATAATACCAACAACAATAACATGGGCACTCAGCGTGGGGCGCCCAGTCCTGCAACAAGTGTGGCTGTTTCCTCTATGTCCTCCTCTCCACTCTTCACCATATCTGACAATAATTTTTCTCACCGCCCGAAGGAAGATCCTTATTCACGTAGTTTATACAGCAACTATGTGGAGTGTGGGTCACTGACTGCTAGTCAAACAGGCAACAGCATCCACTCCTGGGACCCCAAGACACTGACTGCTCCAACCTTGAGACCACCACCTGGGTTAACTCAGTCACATGATACACCACACAGACACAGCTCTCTTTCAGGTGGGTTTGATATTTTGTACTACAAAACTTTCTCACTTTTTTATATATTTTTGTTTTTCTGTTTAGTGGGATTTTCATTTACAGCTGTGTGGGTAAGTAGAAACTTTATAAGAATACTTTAATTTGGGGACTACAGGGGATCCCCGGGTTACAGACGGGTTCTGTTTCCGAGTATGTTCGTAAGTCGGATTTGTACGTAAGTTGGAACACATGCTATATGCATACCGTACGTACAAACAATGTTGAAATTCCCAATACATCATAGCCTAAGTCCTTATATACAGTACATCTAAAATCAATTAATTTATAATAAAAAAGAAATAGAATGACAAAATACATTTAAAAAAGGAAAAAATAAGTCATCAGGTAAATAAAATACTGTAAATTTCAAGTTTAACCCGTTCATATTGGCAGGCATTCATAAGTTGGGGACTTCCTGTATATGATGACTAGCCACCCCAGCTTATTTCACTTGATTAAACATCCTAACAGTACCTGGGAGCTTAGGTTAGGTTAATTTTTTGTTTAGGTTAAGTTAATTTAACATATAGATTAAGTTAGCTTTAGGGTGTGTAATCATTAAGTGAAATAAGCTTGTACAGTACAGTAGTGGTATTCCTTATATTATGATCCAATTTTTTAAATATGTTTTTCAGATGTGAAGAAGTACCACAGCCAGTGATATTTTTCATGTTGATCATAACTAACCATTATCACAGTTAAGGAAACAGTTGTACCTGTACATGTGCTCTTCTTCTCTAACTTGTCATTCAGCAAGGTTGTCAAATCTTACCCTAATCCCACCCACCATATCAACATTTTATTACACTACTTTACTGTATTAGCCATTGCACAGTGTTACACTTCAGTGAGATGAAACTGCTCCATTCTAATAACAAACAAGTCAAAAATTTTCAAGTATAACTTAGGGTAATGAACTGTTTCAGGGTTTTTCTGTCACTATTCTGGGTATGTGTTTTTCTTGCAACATCATCATCTACTGTATTTTGCCCATTCTTGAATTTCTGTTTCTTTTGGTTCACTTGAGCTCAGAGGTTGCAGTGCCAGGTAGATTCATTCATTGTCTAATTGAATCTCTGATGGATTAATGTGGATTATCAGATGCTTTTATTCTCTGGTCAAGGTGTAAGAAGGGAAAAATTTTATAAGTTGAATTTATTTGACCCTTCCAGAGGATGAATGGCCTCGTTACTGCCATTCACAAGTTGGAGGTTCGCTGTGGCCTGACGGAAGTGGTTATCATCACGACGGAATAAGTCTCAACTCTGGCAATGCTCCTGCACCAAGTTTATGGGACTCCCTATCAAACATCTGGTCGCCACCCTTCTGGTCGTCAAATCAAGGGTCTTCTCCCCAGTCAACACCTCCATCACCTTGGGGCACAACCCTCTCCCAGGCACCAGTTAATGATGCTAGTGGTGCTGTATCAAAGGGACTCGGCTTTGATCCCTTTTGTTCCGTCGGTAACATTTGGTCTGCACCGACGGGCCACGCGACTGGTGACTTATGGGCGCCGCCAACTTCCAAAAAGGACGTTTAAGCTGATGTACATTGTGCATTACTTGTACATCCTTCCCGATCATGATGCACACTACATCTAAAAGAACAAACACGAAAAGGAAATTTTCATCTTTTGATTTTTTTACGCTTCAATAAGAAAGATAATAATAATGAGCAGGCCTCTGTGCATTATCTTTAATGGTATGGTGTGTTTCCAGTATTTTTTTTTTTTTAATAAAATTGTCTTTTAATTTTTATAGTCTAATGGAATGCAATTCCATTTTAGTCTAGGAAGGCCTTTTACTTAATGGTACATATTTGTTCTTTGATATAAAGTTTTATTTGGAAGGGCAACTGTTATCTGTGGTCCATGACAGGTAAATTACACATTTAATAATTATGTTTATCTCATTAAATGAGAAAATATAAGTAAGATACAGACACACAAATATGCGCTAAAGTGCATAGTATTTTACCAAAGGAATTTATATTGATTTGTCCTTTTTAATTAAATATTGTAACTGAAAATCAGTTGTGTAATTTTGTTTTTGTAAAGGAACTACTCACCTGTTTTATTTAATTACAAAATGATGGAAGTTTTATCTTTTGTAATGATTGACAATTTTAGTTTCAACTGTTCTCATATGGAGTGAAGAATTTTTTTTAACATTTATTGCAATCTTCGTGCCATATTGAAAGATTATGTTTGCTATATGCAATCACTGCTGGTTGTGTGCAGAGCAGATTAGGGTTTACTCAGCCATGCCATTGCTATTATGAATCAATGAATTGATTGACTTTGATTGAAATTATTTCAATCTCTTTTTGAAAATTATTCACATGTTTATGATATTATCTGCCTCAAAAAAACAAAACAATGTTTTGGAAAATATGGTGGAGGCAATTTTCAGGTCTGTGTTGTTGTTCAGCCCATCCTGGTAGTCAGTATTTCAGAGGTGGCGGAGGTACAGTCAACAGAGGAAGGGACCGACCACACCTCGCTTGACTAGGCATTTGGTTCAGTCCATCTTGATTATAGAACCTAGTTCTTTATATATATATATATATATATATATATATATATATATATATATATATATATATATATATATATATATATATATATATATATATATATATATATATATATATATATATATATATATATATATATATATATATATATATATATATATATAAAGTTTTTATATTCATGTACAAGACACAAGGCCTGTGAAAGGAAGCAATTGGTCACCTTACCTTGACTGTACCTAGAGCCTAGTAATCCAACCAGTATTGTGTGTTCTCCCACTCTCAGTATTTGATTATACTCACAGATATGGAAACCCCATAATAATTCTAGTTTCCTACTATCAAGAACTCGAGACTGAGCAGATTGTCAGACATACCAAGAGTGTTTTTGATGGACAAATAAAATGATGAATTGAGTATTTACTATTTTTTTTACCTTAATGGCTCTTACTGTGAAGCTGAGTCCCAGAGTTCCCACAGTAAGACTTACAGATAACAGCGTAAGATGTTGACTAAACTGATATTCTCACATTTGGAATTGGACTGAGGGAGTGAGAGACACCCTATCCAGTATCCATGCAAGAGAAATACAGTAATCTTACTGGCTGTACACTTTGAGTTGGCCACCTTAACCCTCCAACAGAACATTTAAAAGTTAAGAGGAGCAAAAGTTTTTCTCTGGTCTGTGCTGAAGCCAAAGGGAAGTTCTTGTAAACCCTTTCTTGCCTCACCTTTGGGACTGAGATTTGCCACTTATTAAGGAATGGATGCCTTGTGTCTGTGTAGAAATTGAATGGGATGAGGGAGAGGTAGTGGATGGAGAGGAGACTGGATGATGGAGGGATAGGGTTGGGAGATATGTAGGACAAGGAGGAGTGGCACTAATGTAGTCATAGTCAGCCAAATTGCTTTTATCTTGTCCAAGGGAATCAAAATACAGTTGGTCAGGAATTAAGACTTCCTCATGAACTGATGAATAACACATCACATCAGGAGAGTAGTAAGGGTTGTAACAAAACATCTAACGTATGAGGTGGATTATAATTGGCATTTCCTGAGTTTTTAACCTGAACCCAATATCACATGTACAGTATAGAGGTTTGTGGGTGTCGGGAATGGACTCCAATCCTCAAGGTTAGAGAGATTTATTAGGAGTGGACAGTATAGGTAAGGTTAGAGTATTTAGACTGTGCCCAGAGTGTCAAGGTTAGGTTAGATTATATAATTAATTATTTCAGGAATCCTCCGGGGTTCGAGCCCGAGGTCGAGGATAGATAAAGAAAGATATTTCCTAATGCATAAACGATTTTAACACGGCTCTGTATATATATATATATATATATATATATATATATATATATATATATATATATATATATATATATATATATATATATATATATATATATATATATATTACTGTATGACTAGGTTAAATAAATTCTAGATTATTGTAAAAACTCTATCATATTGTATAGGCCATTAAATCACGTTTTAGCCTTACTAATAGAGGGTAAAGGGCGATAAAGGTAAAGGAACTCCGCCCGCTCAGGAACCTTAATGTTAGTAAATAAACAAACTGACCTGGTGGCGAGGCTGTCACCTGTGCCAGTCATAAATTATACACTACTACAGCACCTCGTTACCTGTGTATGGGAAACAGCAGATGCAGGTATGTGCTTATTTTAATTCTAGTAACTAATTTTCTAAAGTTAATAAAGCAGCAAAGGCAAATATACGGCTGGTGACCGTCAGTGGTTAAGTAATTATGAGTTTTTTTAAAAGAGAGTTTTGGTTAAACTGCACTTTTGGACAATACCCCTAGTAGTTGAGCAATGTGTTTTTCTGATTGTTTAGACAATTTTAAGACACTTTTCTTCGATGATGATTCCGGTACATTTAAGTAATTTGCGAGGGATACGTTAAAAAAGAAGTGTCTTAAAATTATCTAAACAATCGGAAAAACACATTGCTCAACTCGAGATCCATATTGTCCGAAACTGCGGTTATACCACAGTTTTGTTCACTGATTATGCTTTTCATTCTATTAATTTTCTTGTGCAAATGCTTAGTATTCTAGATATAGGCGAGTTAAGATATAGGTTAGGTCAGGTCAGGTTAGGTCAGGTTAGGTCAGGTCAGGTCAGGTCAGGTCAGGTCAGGTCAGGTTAGGTCAGGTTAGGTTAGGTCAGGTTTTATTAGGTTTGGTTAGGTTAGTACATGATTACCCTCATTTTAATCTTTTCCCCCAACATAATACAGTATTCCCTAATGTAATCAGTGAAAATTGGGGTGAAATTTCAGTCGTGCACCGGTCTTTCTCTCGCTATTATTAATGTGTTTTTCGTGATGTTTAGACAATTCTAAGACCTTTTTTTCTATGATATTTCCGCCGTAAATTGACGATGACCGAGATGTAAATTTTTCAATATTATTAGATTTGGTCAGTTAAAAAAAAGTCATGTATTGTGAGCCTGTGTTAGGAGTTTATGAAGATGAAAATAATGGGGTCATTTCTGAGAACAGCACTACCACCAGAAGGAGTTGTTCGATTTGATTAATTTTTCCACAGATGTTATAATTATTATAGTAAGTATTTTAAATGAGGCTACATTTACTAGAACCTAATAGAACCTGACCTAACCAACCAAAGAAACCTACCAAACCTTACCTAACTTCTAGCTGGGGAGGCTCTGTTCCCCGAACTTCTTGCCATATTAAGCAGAAAGTTCTTACTTTGATATCTAGTACCAATAAAAGCAACATTCTTAATGTGTCATGGTGTCTTAAACTGCAGTTTAATCAGTCAATTGAAAGCACATAGCCACACACATTTATGGTAACTTTAGGTTACACAGTAGTTACAGGACTGTCACTCTGCCAACACGGGAGCAAATACCATTTTACCCCTGCATTTTCCTTCCATAGTAATTGATATCGTGCTTGAACAATTACTTTGTGTTTGTAATTATACATTTTCAACTGCAGTTGTGACAGAATTTAAAGATCAATTATACAGAGTACTCTCCTCATATCTGTGGGTTGGCGACTACAGCCCAAGAACCTTTAGAGTGGAGGACTCCTCCACTCTAAAGGTTCTTGGGCTGTTTTTACCAATCCTCTGAGGTTATGTATCTCTCTGGGAACCCAGTTAGTAATTTATTTCATCCATCCCAGTCTCTGCCTTCCCTTGGCCCTCCTATCCTCAACTTTGCCCATTAATATTTGTCATTATTCCTTCATCCCTAATTATATGACCAAGTATCTCATTTTTCTTTTTCTCTACATTTCAAGTATTTCTCTTGAAGTTCTTAATTTGTTTTTCTCTCAGTGTAGACTTTTCTAAGCATTCTCCTATAACACCACTATTAAAAGGCCTCCAACTTCTGTATAGCATCTGCTGAAAATGTCCACAGGTTAGGATGTTAGATTAGGCTAGGTCAGGTTCTAATAGGTTCTGTATAATCTTGCTTCCATTTTCGTTTTCAGTGTCATGCAAATAATATCTCCAGGAATTTTGGTTCAGATCCATAAGTTACTTCTGGTGGTAACTGTCTCCTCCACCTTTATCAATAATATTTGAAATTGTTCATCTTAATTAGTTATAATACTCGTACAGTATTACCTTTTCTTAACAAAAAAGATTGCCATCAAGAATGATATGAATCTGTGATAGTCATCTCAAAGTTTAATGTTTAATTCTTTCACTTCACTATCAGCACAGCAGGTGTGGGTGGTGATGAATCATGTTAAATCATTCTATGTATTTCAATGGTAAATTTAAGGTACAGTATGGGACTGCAGCCCTAAAACATACACTCAAAATTCCTGGACCCTTAACTGCACATTACAGATCTGTGGCTAACTTTGCTGTGCACAAAATATTTTGGTCTTTAAATTTTAAACTTACCTTATAAAACTTTTAGCGTGTATACAAATTAAAAGGAAAACACAGTATAAGCCTGAAAGGTCTCCCCCTCCCCCCACACCAAGTTTACTGCACCTTGTAATTGTGGGATCACCTGATGAATCTCCACCCTAGTTTATTTCACCTTAAGATTGGCCACCCAAATGCTAACCTAACCTAACCTAACCTCATCCCCCACAAATAGCATTCAGGTAACTAATGGAAGTTTTCCTCTGTATCGCAAAGAATATTCCATATTTTTTTTAGTTCCTTCAATATGAATTTCATTACTCAAGCTTCTGTACTTTGAGGGATGCCTGTACAGTATTTCACTAACTCACTTTTTATTGTGACAGATGAAGGCGAGGTCGGGGAAGTAGACTGAGTGGATCGACCAACAAAGATGCATTAGAGAAACTGTCAAAAGTTCGCCCACTTCCTTCACTCATCCTGCAGTGGCCCAAGATAAACTCATCTCTTTTCAAGGTAAAACATATACCATGCCACGTCCAGTATGTTCACTTGTGTGTTGTTACATGTTTTCCAGAAGGTTGGTTAAATGCAGTACCTCTTCTTTAACATATTTATAAGACATCTCTACTTTCTCTCCATATTTACACCTATCTTACACACACACACACCTCATCTGTACACTTCCCTGTATCCAGTACCTTTTAAAAACTTGTCTTCATTTGATATTACCATTTAAAAGCATAATAACAACTGAACACTCCTGGACACTTACTTTCCTATATGATTGCTGGAGCTTTGGTGGGTGGAGAGAGGCACTGCACTTTGGCTACTCTGACATTCTTAACATTAAAGTAGAAATATGTACAGTACTCTACAGTATTACACTAAACTTAAATTTACTTTACTTTACCTGTACTGTAGTGTACTGTACTGTACTGTACTGTACTGTACTGTACTGTACTGTACTGTACTGTATTGTACTAACTATATAATCACTACAATCAGTGCAAGACGAAGGGCTGTATTAAGACATGTTGAAGCCCTAAGCTATGTCAATATTTAGAGGCTCCATACCTCAAAAAAAAGTATACAGTACCTTCTTGTGGTACTGTATACAGTATTGTACCGTACCTGGTGTTTGCAGTCAAGCAAAAAACACTTTCTTCTTTACAGCTACCAAACTACAGTACATCAAAACCAGTAATAGTGTAAAACAATTCATAGCTAAACGTCAAAAATACATAACAGATGAAGCTGTTTCTGTATTAACCCCAATATATTATATTGTTAAATTGATCTGCCAACCTCGGTTAGTCCAAGTGCAATGTATTGCTTGTTAAATTTATCAGAAAACTTTCACTATTTCTCCTGTAGACATACTATTACTGATTAGAGACCTAGCTTAAGCAAAGTACCCTACTATAAATAAGTATCTGATGGCTTTGCCAATTAGTAAGTCTGTGAATCTATCTATTTATCATTAAATCTACATAACTATTTAAATCATCTAACCTTACAGAAGTGAAGAACAAGGGACAGACTGATGACAGAGGCTACATCACCACCACCAGATGACAGAGGCTACATCACCACCAACACCAGATGACTGAGGCTACATCATCACCACCATCAGATGACAGAGGCTACATCACCACCACCAGATGACAGAGGCTACATTACCACCACCAGATGACAGAGGCTACATCACCACCATCTGATGACAGAGGCTACATCACCACCACCACCAGATGACAGAGGCTACATCACCACCACCAGATGACAGAGGCTACATCACCACCATCAGATGACAGAGGCTACATCACCACCACCAGATGACTGAGGCTACATCACCACCAACACCAGATGACTGAGGCTACATAACCACCACCAGATGACAGAGGCTACATCACCACCACAGATGACAGAGGCTACATCACCACCAGCACCAGATGACAGAGGCTACATCACCACCACCACCAGATGACTGAGGCTACATCACCACCAACACCAGATGACTGAGGCTACATCACCACCAACACCAGATGACAGAGGCTACATCACCACCATCAGATGACAGAGGCTACATCACCACCAGATGACTGAGGCTACATCACCACCACCAGATGACTGAGGCTACATCACCACCACCACCAGATGACAGAGGCTACATCACCACCAGCACCAGATGATTGAGGCTACATCACCACCAGCACCAGATGACAGAAGGCTACATCACCACCAACACCAGATAGCTGGAGCTACTGTAGTATGGTCTACAGAGCTGGAGCTACTGTAGTATGTGGTCTACAGAGCTGGAGCTACTATAGTATAGTATGCAGTCTACAGAGCTGAGCTACTATAGTATGTGGTCTTGTATTGTGCAGTGTGGTCTACAGAGCTGGAGCTACTATAGTATGGTCTACAGAGCTGGAGCTACTATAGTATGTGGTCTACTGAGCTGGAGCTACTATAGTATGTGGCTCTACAGAGCTGGAGCTACTTATAGTATGTGGTCTACAGAGCTGAGCTACAGTATAGTATGCAGTCTACAGAGCTGAGCTACTGTAGTATGTGGTCTACAGAGCTGGAGCTACTGATAGTGAGCAGTATGCAGTCTACAGAGCTGGAGCTACTGTAGTATGTGGTCTACAGAGCTGGAGCTACTATAGTATAGTATGCAGCTCACAGAGCTGAGCTACTGTAGTATGTCTACAGAGCTGGAGGTACTATAGTATAGTATGCAGTCTACAGAGCTGGAGCTACTGTAGTATGTGTTCACAGAGCTGGAGCTACTATAGATAGTATGCAGTTCCAGAGCTGGAGCTACTGTAGTATGTGGTCTACAGAGTTGAGCCATTGAGCCGAGTTAATTATAAGAGCTGGATACTGTAGTAGGAAACAGGAGGTGCTGGAGTTGTGTTCACGATATAGCACACTAAATCATCCATTAACATACACACCTAGGCTAGGTTAGGTTCATGGATGCTATGGTGTAAATATCCTGAAGACACATTCTGCCTCGGTGACCACATACTATAGTAGCTCCAGCTCTGTAGACCGCATATACTACAGTAGCTCCAGCTCTGTAGGCTCACACACACAGTAGCTCCAGCCTGCAGACCACATACTACAGTAGCTCCAGCCTGTAGACCACATACAGTAGCTCCAGCCTGCAGACCACATACTACAGTAGCTCCAGCTCTTGTAGACCACATACTACAGTAGCTCCAGCTCTGTAGACTACATACTCATAGTAGTCCAGCTCTGTAGACCACATACAGTAGCTCCAGCTCTGTAGACTGCATACCATACTATAGTAGCTCCAGCTCTGTGAGACCACATACTACAGCAGCTCCAGCCTGTAGACTGCATACTATACTATAGTAGCTCCAGCCTGTAGACCACATACCACAGTAGCCCAGCTCTGTAGACTGCATACTATACTATAGCAGCTCCAGCTCTGTAGACCACATACTATAGCAGCTCCAGCTCTGTAGACTGCATATTATAGAAGCTCCAGCTCTGTAGACCACATACTACAGTAGCTCCAGCTCTGTAGACCACATACTACAGTAGCTCCAGCTCTGTAGACTGCATACTATAGAAGCAACAGCTCTTGAGACTGTATACGATAGAAGCTACAGCTCTGTAGACTGCATAGTAGCTCCAGCTCTGTAAATCATAGTACAGTAGCACCAACTCTGTAGATCACATACTACAGTAGCTCCGTTCTTTTTTTAAAAAATTAGTTTTTCTACATATTAAAATTTCAGTGAATAAACTTTTAGATTAATCACCCTAATACAACCTGACCCCACACGTCTTCAAGCTTCTTGTGTTACCCTCTTAGTTCTATTATATTATGTACTATATAATAATCTTGTATCTGTAGTTCATACCCTAATGTGTATTTTATTATATTGGTATTGTATTACAATATTGTTTTGTTTTCTGATGTAATGTATTAATACAGCCCAAGTGGTCAACTCTTGTAAACCTTATTGACACGTCGTATGTAAATTAATGGAACGACAGCATAAAATAATGTCATTGTTAATAATAATAAAAAAACGATCGTTTTCAATATTCTAATACTCCTAAATGTGTTAATAAATAAAGCACATTATGTACAATAAAACTCTTGTTAAGATTCAAGACACTGCCCGAGCAGCTAGTAAGCTGATAAGGGCTAGAAATATACATATAACAAAAAATAAATACAAATAGGAGTAAAGGACCACCATGAAGAGGCAGGACTCAACCACTGAGCCATGACAAACTTAGTTATTTCACCTTAAAGTTCAAGAAACTGGATGAAAATAGTTATCGGGAAAGTAGATTATCGACTTTAGAAATATTACCTAATTTTCTGAAGTAGATTATCATAGAAACGGGAAATTTGTATCATAGAAAATGGGAAATATCTACTTTCCGGGAAAGTTGGTTATCTACTTTCCTGAAGTAGATTATTTATCTACTTTTCGGGAAAGTAGATTATTGACTTTTGGGGAAGTAGATTATCGACTTTAGGGGAAATATTACCTAATTTTCCGAAGTAGATTATCATAGAAAACGGAAATTTGTATCATAGAAAATGGGAAATATCTACTTTCCGGAAAGTTGGTTATCTACTTTCCCGAAAAGTAGATTATTTATCTACTTTTCGGGAAAGTAGATTATTGACTTGGGGAAGTAGATTATCGACTTTTTGGGAAATATTACCTAATTTTCTGAAGTAGATTATCATAGAAAACGGGAAATTTGTATCATAGAAAATGGAAATATCTACTTTCCGAAAGTTGGTTATCTACTTTCCCGAAAAGTAGATTATTTATCTACTTTTCGGGAAAGTAGATTATTGACTTTTGGGGAAGTAGATTATCGACTTTTGGAAATATTCTAATTTTCAAAGATTATCATAGAAAACGGGAAATTTGTATCATAGAAAATGGGAAATATCTACTTTCCGAAAGTTGGTTATCTATCTCGAAAAGTAGATTATTTATCTACTTTTCGGGAAAGTAGATTATTGACTTTTGGGGAAGTAGATTATCGACTTTTAGGGAAATATTACCTAATTTTCCGAAGTAGACACATAAAAACAAACATCATAGAAAATGAAATATCTACTTTCCAAAGTTATATTCTTTCCTGAAAAGTAGATTATTTATCTACTTTTCGGAAAGTAGATTATTGACTTTTTGGGGAAGTAGATTATCGACTTTAGGGAAATATTACCTAATTTTCCAAGTAGATTATCAATAGAAAAGGGAAATTTGTATCATAGAAAATGAAATATCTACTTCCGAAAGTTGGTTAATTTCCCGAAAAAGTAGATTATTTATCTATTTCGAAACAGATCCTTCCATCCAGATCATCTCCAGATGTTTATCTACTTTTTCGAGAAAGTTCAATTTCCGGAAGCAGACACGCAGTTCGGAAATTGTAATTATGTGTGCAGATTATTTATTTACTTTTCGAAAGTAGATAACCAACTTTCCCGGAAAATAGATATTTCATTTTCTATGATAATTCGCTTCGGTGTACTAGGTAATATTCTGCAGTCGATAATCTACTTCCCAAAAAAGTCAATAATCTACTTTCCCGAAAAGTAGAGTAAATAATCTACTTTTCGGGAAAGTAGATAACCAACTTCCCGAAAGTAGATATTTCCCATTTTCTATGATACAAATTTCCCGTTTTTCTATGATAATTCACGGAAAATTAGGTAATATTTCCAAAAAGTTTGATAATCTACTTCCCCAAAAAGTCAATAATCTACTTTCCCGAAAAAGATAAATATCTACTTTTTCGGGAAAAGTAGATAAATCAACTTTCTCGGAAAGTAGATATTTCCCATTTTCTATGATACAAATTTCCTGTTTCTATGATAATCTACTGGAAAATTAGTAATATTTCAAAAGTACGATAATCTACTTCAAAAAGTCAATAATTAATTTTCCCAAAGTAGATAAATCTACTCAGAAAGTAGATAACCAACTTTCCCAAAGCAGATATTTCCCATTTCTATGATACAAATTCTCCCGTTCTTATGATAATCCACTTCTAAAAAATTAGGCAATATTTCCCAAAAAGTCGATAACAATCTACTTCACCAAAACTCATTAATTCATTTCTCTTAAAAAGTAGATAACACCTTTCGAAAGATAACCAACTTTCCCAGAAAGATATTTACTTATGATACAAATTTCCTGTTTATGATAATCTACTTCGGAAAATTAGGTAATATTTCCCAAAAAGTCGATAATTCATTTCTGTAAATCAGTAATCTACTTTCCTTTAGTAGATGATCTACTTTCGCAGAAAGAGATAACCAACTTTCCTAAAAGTAGATATTTCTATACAACTCTGCTTTTTATGATGAATCATTACGGAAAATTAGGGAATATTTCCCCAAAAGCAAATACGTAACTGAACGCACATCA